CAACAAAATACTTCAGAAAGGCCTGAGAATTGAGAATAAACAATTCAATTTGTAGGAGAAGAAATCCCAATGATAAAGTTTCAGATTTTGGAATAGATCTAAAGATCCAACTCAAAAACCAAATATTGATGATAAAAGAGAAGAACCAAGAGCTTATAAGTTTGACACCATGTTAGAAACAAAAAAGAATGAGAAATATTTGAAAAAGGATTTATTACTTTCTTGAATAATATTGTATATACAATTATCTATATATAAGTGTTTACGAAGAAAATATTTTAAGATATAAAATATTTACAATAAATGTGAATAGTGTAAATAAATGTGAATAATGTGAATATGACCTGAATAGTTAATTTGTCAATTATTGTGTTCACATCTTAACAGCGGTATTCATCCAGAAAACACAAATCATCTCCTTTTTACTTGTTCAAAAGCTTGGTTAGTGTGGTCCTTATGTTATATTTAGAGGAGTCTTTATGTGGTCCAACAAGACAAAGGATGAGAGCATTTGCAATAGCATGCTGGATTATTCTTAGAAGGGAGACTAATGCAAGCTTGGATGGTGGTATGGTATGCAACCATCTGGAATCTATGGAAATGGCGGAATCAATACGTTTTCATGGGAAATAAGGTCACAGGTAATTGCATTGCTAAATTAATCAAATATCACTCTTTTATGTAGTTGAAAACAAACTTATGGCCAGATTTATCAAAAGATTGGTGGTTAACGTCCCTTGTCTAGGCATGCAAGATGACAAAAAGACTTGATTATTGTTAGCAGGCTTAAGTATTGGAAAAGGACCCCAACTTTTATCAAATTCTCAATTGAGGTCCTCAACGTTTATTATGCTCAATCAAGGTCTCAAACTCATGTAAACTCTCAAATAAGGACCCAATTGGATGGAATCCTAATTATCCGTTAAATCTAAAATAATGGTCGTTATAATCCATTACACCCCTCAATACGTGGCATGCCAACTAGAAAATAAAAAGCATTCTCGGACATGGCCTGTTGTAATC